ACAGCTGGACTTTATCCACGTCAACTAAAACTAAAAGAAATATTCAAGTTCTTCCGAACACAGTTCGCCACAAACGCCGTCTAATATTAATAAAAATAAAAAAACTATTTTTTGCCACAAATCGATATGAAGTGTTATCGAAAGATGATCCTCCGTCCGTACCTCCACCAAACAATATTACCGACACAGATCATAATTCTATAGTTTCCAATAATACAGAACCTAAAACACTGCGACCACCCCCAATCTTTGTAAGAGGTTAATCCAATTTTCCAGACTTATGCACCGAACTTATTAATATAATTGGAGTAGATAATTTCTACTGTAAATCATCGACCGATCGTCTGAAAATAATGACAGCTAACCCCGAATCGTATAGATCACTGATCCACTTTCTAAGGGACCAAAAAGCTGAATTTCACACGTTTCAACTTAAGGAAGATAAACCAATACGCGTTGTGATTAGGAATCTCCATCCAACTACACCAACTGAGCTAATCAAATCTGAGCACGAAACACGCCTATTTGAAGTCAAGCAAGTTTCAAGCGTTCTTCATAAGATTAATAAAAATCCATTACCGCTGTTCTTTATGGACCTCGAACCTATAAAACAGTCCAACGACATCTACAAACTTACGTCATTACTTCACACAATAATAAAAGTAGAAGAGCCATACAAACCCAAAACTATAAGCCAGTCCTCAAATTGTCAAGATTATGGGCACACTAAATCTTATTGCGGTTATCCAGCATGCCGTGTCCGCTGCGGTGCCCAACATGTGACGTCAGACTGTCCAAATTCTTGCTATGTCCCACCAAAATGCGCATTATGCTCCGGGGATCATCCGTCAAATTATAAAGGCTGCTTGATCTACAGGAACCTTCAACGACGAAAAAAAACCAAAGCCAAATAATCAGGTATTTGATATAACTAATCAAAAAAATACTTATATACAAGAAACACAACCAGTGAAAATCTCCACAACCCACCCACCTGTTTCGAATTATACTTATGCACAAGCTGCTTCCAACTCTAACGCTAATAATATAATTTCTCTTCCTCCAGATATTAATCTAATAATGACGAATTTCATGAATGAGTTCAAACAATTAATTAATAGTGATTATAATGCTAAGCATATCAACTGGGTCTGTCGTACTAACAACCCCAGAGGTATGGTACTTCACAACTTTACAAATATGAAAGACTACAATGTTTTTGCTCTACCATGTCCAATTTACTGGCCTACCTCTATACGCAAAAAACCGGATATATTAGACATTTTTATTTCTAATATGCCATCCAACATATACTTGAACCCACTTCGGATCACTCAGCTGTACTTCTGACTGTCAGTGCTTTTCCTTCAATCCACTTATCTCCGCCTAAACTATTTTAGCCGAATATAGATAGGTGTACATTTCACAATCTAGTTAACCAAAATATAGATTTGAAGGTCAGCCTCAAAACCACTCAAGAAATTGACGATGCAATTAATAAGTTTACAGATATAATCTAATCTGACGCCTGGGATGCTACCTCTAGACAAAAGCATTTCATAAACAATTCCGGTAACAATTCCCGAACATATCCGCATTCTTATAGTTAATAAACGCAGAGCTAGGGCTCTATATCAACGCTCTCGCCTTCGTCACATAAACGAAACTTTAATAATCTGGCAAACACTTTAAAAAAAATATTAGCTAAACATAACAACCAACTTCAAGTAAACTACCTTACTAGTCTTTGGGAAACCACTAAAAAGCTTTTAAAACATCCAGTACCAAATACCCCATAATTAAACCAGATGGTAGTTTCGCCTTCACAGATGCTGATAAAGCTGAACTGCTAAAAAGCCATCTAGCTGAAACCTTCAGTCCACACACTGAGATACAAATCCCTCAAAGTATTGAGTTAGTGAAACAGTATCTTGATATCTCCCATCTTCTCTGTCTTTCCACTAAATCTTTTACCCCAAGTGAAGTAAAATTTGCTTTACAGAAATACAGCCTTAAGAAGTCCCCAGGTTATGATTTAATCACTGCCGAAGTATCAAGATATCTCCCTAAAAGAGCAATAGTGCTATTAACAGTTATTTTTAATGCTGCCCTAAGATTGTCGTATTTCCCATTACTTTGGAAATTTTCTATCATCATTCTTTTTTCTAAACCAAAAAAGCCTCCCGATCTATCATCATTATATCGACCATTAAGTCTCCTGGCTTTCTTCGCTAAAATATTTAAAAGACTAATTTTAAAAAGAATCCTTCCTTACATATATTCCACTAACGTACTTCCAAACACTCAATTTGGTTTTCGTGCTTCTCACTCTACAACACATCAGCTGTATAATAGACTAGTGGACGCTATATCCTTTTCTCTTGAAAAAAAAAAAAACTGCTCCTGCGTATTCCTTGACGTGTCTCAGGCATTTGACCGTGTCTGGCATGATGGACTGCTGTATAAATTAAAACTTTTTCTTTCACCAACGTATTACCTTTTAATTAAATTATACCTAACCGATCGCCACTGTCAAGTCAGATTTGGTTCGTCTTTCTCGAGTATTGCAAACATAAATGCAGGAGTCCCTCAGGATGGCATACTGTCACCAATACTATATAATATATATGCCGCTGATCAACCCACCTCTCCAAATACAATAGTAGCCAAGTTTGCGGATGACAAGGCCATTATATCAATACATGAAGACCCAATTTCTGCTTTCCTAAACCTTCAACTTAATGGAAAATTGGTACGAAAAATGGAGAGTCAAAGTTAATCAAACAAAATCGCTACACACTACCTTCACCCTTCAACTTTCCCCATGTCTTGAAGTTTCATTAGCTAATATACCTATCCCTTCATCACAATTGGTTAAGTACCTAGGGCTACCTATTGATAGACGCCTCACACTTGGGTACTGCACGTAAAAGAAAAAAAAACTCGCTCTAAATGCGCGTCATCGGCTATTTAAAACATTATTAAATAATAAACATACCAAATTAAATATCAAACTGCTAATTTACAAATCCTTAATGAAGCCCATGTGGACACATATGGCATCCAACTCTGGGGCAATGCCAAGAAATCTAATTTAAATAAAATACAAACAACTCAAAACAAAATCCTTCGTTCCATCACCAATGCCCCACATTATGTTTAAAATTATACTCTCCACTCCGACTTAAATTTAAAACTATACATGAAGAAGCCAAAATGTTCTATAAACGTTTCTTTCATAAACTACCTTCCCATCCAAATCCTCTTATATCTGGCCTAGCCACTCACACGATTCCAGGAAACCCACCACGACGTCTAAAAAGAAAATGGTGTAGAGATCTACTTAATAATTAACATAAAAGCAATAAACAAAACAAAAAAAAAAAATTATAATTACTATGTATGAATAATCAAAAGGAGTGAGATCACTGGATGGTTTCTTCCCTCACCTACTATTCATGTCAAATCTACCATAGCACATATTCTTATTATGCCAAGGGCATAGATTGAATATTTTCTAAATAAAAGAAAAAAAAACTTAAGTATATATTATATAATAATATACACTGACACTACTGTTTTTTATTTGAATGTAGTTAAAATTAAAACATTAACCATAGTAAGAGTTTTGAAAAAAAAATCTGTTACAAAAACAGTACATACTATGACTCATTGGTTGTAATTTTTTTCATTTTACCAATTTAAGATTGATTGTTGTACACTTGTATTTTATACTATAACTTTGAAACGTCAGAAAGAAAATGTTACTCAATGTTGTGATGGTTTGAATAGATATAATAACTAAAAGTGTGTATTACAATATAATAAAATAAGATAATCGATACAAGAATATTTTAAATATTATTACTAAAGACTGGGTTTATATGAATTTTAATTTGTTAAATTAATTGCATGCCGAAAAAATAAACACAAATTGTAGTGTCCGAATTGCATGCCACCTCTCAGAGGGGTATGTCCGAATTGAATGCCGTGTACCTACAAGTTTAACTTTATTTATCATGCATTTAGGTATAACTTAAACTTTATTTTTGATTTTTCTATTATTTAAAAAAAAAAACCCATGGATAGAAACTGATTAGTTTTTAGATTGAAATATTTTTATATTTGAGTAAACATTTTACCAAATTGAAGAAGATGACACTGTGAATATTAAGTAAAACGATTGTAATTTAAGGTAGGTAATAAAGTGAATGTATTTTACATTTTTACATGACATTTCGAATAAATAATAATATTATAAAATTTGGTGTTTTTTTGACAATTTACAATATTTTATAAGTTAATAATAATAAAATAAAAAGATGATAATTTATAATAATAAAATATAATTATATGTATAATAATGCTTATAAATTTAAGCTACAAACATTTAAGTGATCGATACGTAGGTATATCTGTGAAACAGATCACAACACACTGCAATAAGTACAGTTTGGTAAAATGTTTACTCGGATATAAAAATATTTTAATCTAGAAACTAATCTGCAGTTGTAAAAACCATATATCATAAAGTGTTTTTATTCATGATTTTTTTTTTTTTAAAAACTAGAAAAGTCAAAAATAAAGTTTAAGTTGTGCACATAAGTGAATCGTGCATGACAAATTAACTTATAGGTACACAACATGCAATTTGGATATACCCCTCTAAGAGTTGGCATGCAATTCGGATGCAGCCGTGCAAACATGTACCAAAAAAAAATGAAAATATGCAAGAAAAAAATGCATAAGTATCTTATTTAAATATTTATTTGTATATTAAATATGTTGCACAAGAAGAAAAAACATGGGTTTCAAAACAGTTGGTCACTATTAAATTCCATTTAAAATACAATAAAAAAGGTATTCTGAAATATTTTATGAAAAGAAACAGTATCTACTCGTGCTATATGATATTAATTATAATGAAAATATTTATTAATTTAAATTTTTTTTAAGTAATAAAAATTCAAAAACATGAACTTATTACAAACTATACTTACTGGAAATCCGTATTCCAGCGATAACGTTGACATCACCACTGTATGAGAAAGTCACATGTAATAATAAATTTCCTTCGTATGATTCGTAATCGTACCCGTCTTTATTTCTGGAAAATAAAAATACCACCTAAAATATATGTTAAATACAATTATTATTTTTAGATTGACGTCTATAGAAATAATACTTCTAAATAGATGTGAATACCCACGAACAATGAACTATTCATAATAATTGGTATATTACAATGGTTAATTTTTATATTTCACACTAAAGTAATGTTAAGTATTGTTTGCTTTGAATTAAAGTATGCTATTGAGGATTAGTTTATTAGTAGAATTTACTCTAATGCAACAATACAAACTCAATGACTGTAATAAGGAAGTTAAGAATTAAGTCGTAATTACCGAGGCTTATAATTAGACAACAGGGTCAGTTGAAATATAAATGTACCTTAAACATAACAATTTACATGAAGAAAACAACAATAATTAAAGGATATTAACTATTAAGTGAATTCAGTGTAAACTAATAATGATAATCGATATTTTATTTCTAAGAAAAAACTCGCTTTATGGTTATCAATGTATTGTTCTAAAGTAAAAATTTAAATTACACTATTGGCTAACCCAACATTTACATTTACAGTAAGAAATCTTCAACTTATGAAATCAAATAATATCATCACAGCGGTCAAGCTAATAATAATTTGGAATGAGAAACCATTTCGAGTATTTTGAGTATTTTATATTACATAGAAATATCAGATTCTTTTATTATATTCTTTTTAAAATGATATTTTTTAGAGAATCAAGTTTATTACAATATATTACATAATATTCAATATTGACATAGTGTTCTATAACAATGTTTGTCTCCGTCAATACATTTTTTTTAAATAAATATTTTTGAAATCTCATTATTAAAAAATACAATTTATTACTTATTTTTATATAATATAATTTATTTGTACAATTATTGTCGCGTTAAGTTATAAGATATATGCAGCGACAAACGATCAATTATAGAGAATGAAATACATAATAATACATGCATTATAATTTTATTTTAACAATGCAATACTATTTTATTGAAATTAAATATTATTATCATATTCTTCATGTAAATAATGATTCAACTAAACTAAAATATGCTCATCCTCATTTTTTATTTTATGATAAAATCATTTAAATTCTAAGTTTTGGAATTTTTAAACATCCAGCTAGATTTAAGTACCTAAGCCTAAGGATCATATTTTAAAATAATTCATTTTTTTCATACAATTTAAGAAGTGGTGAACGATACCAGTTTTTTAAAAATTAGAATTTTCTTTTTTTCTATAAATTATTAAGTAGACGATTTTTTTAGCGTTGATGTGTTTAAAATTTAAATCAAAAATCAAACAATAAGTTTAAGAATTATTTAAAAATGTTTTCCTACTAAAAATTATGTTCTATGATAATTGGTTTGGAAAATGTAGAGTAATGATGTTTTGAAAATTTTACGTATTAATATTAACTTTTTAATATTTTATAATTTGTAAAAAATGTCTAAATATAATAAATACTGTATTCAATTTTACATATTATATTACTTTAAATTTTTGAAGGACCTTATTAATCTTATTATACAAGGTAAATTTGAACAACTCTACTCAACACTACTCGCAGTGGCGTGGCGAAGTGAAATATTTTATCGGGCAATTCATTTTTTGAATAACCTACCACCCCTTAATTCTTACACAGTACCCGCTACCCATGACCCATGTGCCATACTATATACAACAAAAAAGTACCTTTATTAAATCAATATAAATTACTTTATTTTACAAACGGCTGAAACCTGGATATTTCCGAGTTTATGATTCTAAAAATAGATTATATCGCAATAATATAATATTCTCAAGATGCTTATGCCGGAATGCCTATGCCGATGCCCTCATAGTCACTAGCATAATACTATAATTTCTTATTTTAATTTATTGCTTATTCGTAGAATGTACACTGTAGTATAATGTGTAATTAATAATATGTAGGTATACTATTAGATAGCTTTTCTTAGCATAATTATAACTATTGAAGTTATTATTCTTATTAAATAACAAATTAATTCAGATGATGTAGTCAGGTAGTCTTGTATAATAATATTTCTTACTAAATCCAGTACCCACCAACCCAGCACCCACCCCTTAAAAAATGATCGGGCATCTGCCCTTCAAAATCACGGTCAACACGCCACTGACTACTCGTTCAAATTTTGATTTATGTAGGTAGGTAAATAAACATTTTAATAAAATCACCTCTTTAAATTACAATTAACGTAAAAAAAAGTTAGCTTTTATTTGAAGATAAGAATATTTTATAGACATCGAAAATTTCTTGAATGATATACCATTAAAAAACATGATCCTAATAAGTATGAGTATTTTAAAAATTAAAACAAAGTCACAATTTCAATAAATTCATTAGGTATTAAAAGAAAACGTGGTGATTAGCAACTTCCAATTTAATATTATATATTTATAAGTATATTAGCATTAATCAATAATTTTTCGGGAAAGCAATCATTTTAGACAGGTATCAATATTACGAATAATCGTATGAGCCAGTAAGCATAGGGTGGCAGTCTCAATGCACAACACATTTTTAAACCGTCAACAATAACTTTACATACTTACGCTACTGGGAATGAACGGTACACGTGGCGTTTAGACAGAGGGTAGCTTACATCTGTATATACTCGATTTCATCACCGTGGAGATGACGCGGTCAATCGAGGGTAGCGGTGGTAATGTAAATGGTCGACGATTTGCGCGTCGGTGTTCGATGACACGTGTGATGTGCGTTCATTGATCATTGCTGCCGTCGCAGATACCGTTAGAATTTTAATCGGGACTGTAGATCAATTTTGGTGGTTATAGATCATATTGCTTTTTACTTTTACAACGTGTACAAATATAATGTACGGCATGATTCATGATTCATCCCAATTATTGTAACAATACATTTATTCAAATTTTGATTTTAAATATACCTACTTGAGGATTATATTTTCGAGTACATGATTGGTAAACTGGTATATTTATCTGTTAATTTTAGTTGTTTTAGATGTTAATCATTTGTTACATATTATATTATTATCGTCATTAGTAGAAATATGGCTTTTACATTTCTTTAAAAATATATTTAAAAAAGAAAATTATGAACATAATCACAATTATTACTTATATGAACAAATGATTTATAATCATAATTTGCTTTCTTAATTTTGAACATATTTTTATATAAACACATAAAGACGAATACCAATCTTAACGATATTGGATTTACATCAGATTTTAAGTTTTTGTGGAAACTGTTTGCAGTTTTTTGTGTTAACATAAAAAATAAGTTTACCATTAGGAAGTGGAAAATCATACAATGAGTCATTATAATTTTGTTTGTATTTTATATTTCAACAGCAGTAAAATGAAAATCAATGAAAGATTATTACTCGGATGAAGTAAGGTTATATAGCTAGTAACTATTACTATTACCTAAGTAGGTAATCTTTTGGTTTTTTTGCATGTTTAAATATTATAACATACGGTAGGTATTTATTAGTTAGAAATTTTTGACAGTCGATTCTATATTATATATGTATAATGTATGTTGTATATACTTAGTATATTTTTACACTTTGTTGTTTTGTCAATATCGTAACATTCATCTCGTCGTTTTGAAAAATATAAATAAAAATAGGTAGGTACTATATAGATATATGGTGTAATAATTTTTGTGTTCATATTTGTTACGATTCAAATAATAATAACCGTCTATGTATGAAAATCGTATTAAAGATTTATCGTTTTACGAGTATATTTTAAACTACAGAGTGTTCCAAAATGATTCATCCGATTACGAACTGATATAGTTCGGCAACGGTTAATCGCAGGTTAATGACCAATGTATTAATGGAAAGATTAGATAACTAAGTTTATTTTAAGTTATCTAGTTGTTAAATTCGGCACCGTAATCGTTAGTGACGTAACTTAATTAGTTGTTATCGAAATGTCGACCGAGCAACAAAAAGCGGTTTTGTGTGCTCCGCTTTGAGAAGTTTTTTTTTTTTTTTTTTTTTTTTTTTCTCTGGGGTTACATAAAAAGCATTGTTTATGTACCTCCCCTTCCAAAAGATCTTGACGAATTGAAAAGTCACATTACAGGCGCCATCAACTTGGTTACAGTCGACATGCTTCAACAGGTTTATGAGGAATTTGAATATCGCTTAGATGTGTGTTGTGCAAGTAAGGGGGGTCACATTGAACATTTATAAGCATTGTACCTAAAACTTAAAATAATCCATCAAAATTTAAAATTAATTCTAACATGATTAATCAAATTTTACAATAAATATGATTTTTTTAAATCGGATGAATCATTTTGGAACACTCTGTATGTTATATCCTATATTCTATTCTAAAGATTCAAACTGTTTCTTTGAAAATAATATGATTGATAAAAATAATTTATCTATTTTGAGCTGTATATACATTTTAGTATATTTTTAAAGAAATATTTGTTTTTTCTGGATATTATTTTTTTGAAATTCTTAAAATATATTTAAAAACATAATTTATACAATAATAATAGTAATAATAATAATAATAATAATAATAATATACCTAATAATTAATTATTAAAATTTCATTAAATAAATTTAAAAAAAAATCGGTTATATTAATTAATTATTTGCTGTTTTTTTTTTTAAAACTCATAATTTATAATAGAGATTTCTGTAAATGTTATAACTATTAATTTGTGTATATAGAAGTTTAATTTAAAAAAAAAAAAAAACAATTAATAAAAATATTAAAACTATTTTATCAAATTTGTTATTTTTAATTTTTTCGTTTTAAGTACATTAAATAATTTGAAAAAGTTTTTATTGAATTATACATAACTATTATCATTATGTATAATTATATTATACTTTTTAGGTAATTAAATATTAATTGTATTATTATTAATTTAAAACTGTATAAACATTATACATGAATAAAAAGAATATATAATTTTTATTCATTCTAGAAGTATATTTATTCACATAATTCAAACAACATAAAAATTA